ATGTCCTGCCCAACTGTCTCCTCTAGGGGATGATGGACAGCATTGGATTGAGCTCACTTATTTCCAGTAGAGCCAACGCTTGAAGTCCATAGCTAGAGTGGTGGGCAGCCAGGCAGAACAAACAGCGAAGACTGCAAGGCCCTGGGGAGTGCTAGGGATGTTTCACTGCAGCCAGCAGCAGTCGAGAGCAGTGTGCACAGAGTAGAAATGGGGTTGCACAATCCCCAGAACCAAATGCAATGCTGCATAAACCCCAAGGCCAGAGCTTGCCTATGGACAGGAAGTAGAGGCCCCTGGTTGCTGCTCAAGGGTAGATGCCACCACTCAAGGCCTATGTGGTCCCTGTCCTGAGTGTTTTCTTGCAGGTGGCCAGCATCTTGGAGCATAACTGTGATCAGAAGGAGGAAACAAACTACCCCCTCCCAAAAGGAATCTTCTGTCCTCTCAAGTGTGAGGATGTGGTCCTCATCCTAAACCTGGTGCAGAGCTGTGGGCTAGAGCTGGATGAGTCTGGCTGCCACATTACCTGGGACCCCACAGTGGCGCCTCAGCTCTCTGCACTCTATGGGTGCCTCACAGGACTGAAGCTACTGGCTGACTCAAGCACTGGGTCCTCTAAGACTGTGCCTGAAGAGGGAACACCGATCTGTCCCTAGGGTCCCATCTAACCTGACTCTTGGCAGCCTAGGATGGACTGACTCTCCTGAGGCCACAGCTGATGACAGACCTCACACTAGTTCCAGACATCAGAAACACCTATTTTAGAGCAAATAATGCCAGGGTCACAAAATAAATCAGGGTTCTGAAAGCAGTGAAGGCTGGCTACAGAACAGTTTGGCTCTGTGTCCTGATCAGCCACCACTCCCACCTGTGTAGCCTAGGCAGCAAAGTCCCCTCTGGGTTCAGGTAAAATCAGCCATTGTAAAAGGTTTGTGGTAATTCCCAGGGCACTAGATGGCAGTAAGAACTTTCAAAATTATGTGACATGCTTACAAGAGTGCTGTTTACTGTTTGTTTGTTTTTTTAAGATTCATTATTTATAGAGCATTCTGTCTGTATGTGTGCCTACACATCAGAAGAGGCCACCAGATCTCACCATAGGTGGTTATGAGCCACCATATGGTTGCTGGGAATTGAACGCAAGACCTTTGGAAGAACAGTCAGTGTTCTTAACCTCTGAGTGCTGTTATTGTATGGTGCAAGGTGATGAGGCCACAGAGAAGCAGCTCTCCAGGGCTGCTTCTGCTTTCATTTCCTTCAGATTTTGTTAGGCCTCCTCTGCCCCACCCATACCATGACAAATAGGCCAACCGGCTCAGGTTCCAGCCAACTGCATACAATGTCATGGGATAGTCAGGAGAGAAGTCTTCAACAAGAAACAAGAAGCTAAACCCTTTCCTAATAGAGCACGCTCTTCCTGAGAGTCTGTCTGCAGCTCTTTTGTGCAGCTCCAGCTCACAGAGGGAACAGGCTCTGGGCCTGACCTTGCAGCCTGCAGCTTTGAGTAACCTCTTACTGGGCATCTGACTTTGTCCTACACCCTGAAATGCTCAACACATCCATTACACTCAATGTTCTCTGCCAAACCTGAGAATGTAAAGGGAAAGAGGATGTCCTGCCCAACTGTCTCCTCTAGGGGATGATGGACAGCATTGGAATGAGCTCACTTATTTCCAGTAGAGCCAACGCTTGAAGTCCATAGCTAGAGTGGTGGGCAGCCTCAGTCTTAATTGTGCAGCAGCTGAGTCTCTCTTAGCATCTCCCTAGAAGTGAGTTTCTTCTGTGATAGACTGTTTCTGGAAAAGCCTACATTCTCCAATAAGGGTGCTCTCCCCCCTCTCTCTCCTGTGTGTGTGTGTGTGTGTGTGTGTGTATGTGTGTATCTTTTACAGACATAGAAAATGGAACTGAAAGAAGTCACAGATCAGAGTAGAAAAGGGGCTAGATCCTCTTCTACCTGGGCTATCCAGCTGTCCTTTCTACATACCTCTTTCCTTCAGGCCCTCTCATGGCCCTATGTTTTGTGCCTGCTGAATCTATTAAGTTCCCTAACCTATTTTCCATTTCCACCCATCCTTCCAGGCACTCAGACCAAAGGCCATGTTTATTCTCCACTTTGTTCCTCATTGCCAGTTTACCGGGGAAGCTTATTGCCCCTATCTCCAAATCATACCCTAATCTTAATCTTGGTTGTTTCTCACACACTTACTGCCAACAAATTTGCCATCCATTTTTGCCTCGATGATATACCAAAACTGGTTAACATACATCTGTTGCCCCATTCTCTTCTTGAGACGGCTGGAATGAAGCCTTTCAAATATATCATCTCTTCCCTCTGATGCCTTAGAGGCACAGCCTGTCTCAAATGGCCTCAAAGGCTCTGCTCTGCTCCATTCCTCTTGCCTGCACCTCCTTTCTTCCGCTCAGCTTCAGACCTACTGGCCTGTTCTCAGCCTTTGGCTGCCTTCACTCTTTCCTGTCTTTGTTCACAAGATACTCTCTTTAATGAGTCCTATCCCTGTTCACTCTAAGTTGCAAACTCCCTTCTCAATTGTCTTGAGTCTCCCCACAGCCACTGGCATCTTCCATGGTGCCACATACCTTAGTGTACTGATGCCAGAGCACTGGAGATATAGCAGTGCCAGGGAATAGAGGACCTGGCCACCCAGGGAAGCAAAGATTGAACAAGACTTATACAATCACTTCCTTAACTGAGTTGGATAATAGATGTCAGAAGCTGATTAACAGAAACAATTCTAGGAGATGAGTGGCTCCCAGGACTGCATCTGTCAAGCAAACTAATCAAACAGCTATGCATCCCCAGCAGGGATGGACTGGAGGTTGAGATTATCTCAGAAGGTTAGAAGTAGCTTATTTAAAGGCCTCACTATTCTCAATAGCAGAGGACCTGGGTTAAATTCTCAGCACCTACATGGTGGTTCACAACCATATGTAACTCCAATTTCAGGGGATCTGATGTCCTCGTCTGGCTTGGATATCACATGCACACCTATATGCAGGCAGAACACTTAATACACATAAAATCTTTTTTAAAAATACCAAATTGAGTATCAAACAGGAAAGGACCTGCGGACCTTAAAATGCCAAACATGCCAAACAAGTAGACTCTTCACTTTATAGGTACAGTGACTAGACTTTTCAAGTGTTAACACTTAGACCTTGGTATGGTGTGTGCCTCATGAGGCTCTGTAACAAACACTAACTGTACAGCAGCACCAAATCGCATGAGATGCTCATGAATACCACACTACTTAACAATAAAGGAGATAACTTCAGTGTCATTAAAGTGACGCTAGGGATACACAGGCAGCTACTGGGTGGCCCAGGCCCACCTGACTTAGAAAAGCTATACTATTTCTCCTATACTATGGGTAAACCTTTAGGACAACTCTGAAAACAGTATTTCAAAGATTCTGGCATTTTCTGTCAATACAGTTCAGAACAGACATCAGACAATATATACCAATATGTGCTATCGCTCATGAAACTTCCTCATCCCTGAATGCCCTCCCAACTCTCAGGAAACTCATCATCTTTGTCATCTTAGGACATAGGCTGTGGCTATGGACAGGTGCTACTCACTCACTTAAAGATAATTTTGTCAACATGTTCCCTGAGGCTTGCCATTTAAAAAACTGTGCAGCGACTGGGCAAGTAGCTCAATGATAAGAGTACTTGCTTAGCATGCAAAATATCCTGGGTTCCACCCCACAAGCACTCCAAAATGTTCAATGTTTAAAAACTGTTTTAGAGATCTGGTGAGATAGCCTACCAGTTAAGAATGTATACCGCTCTTGCAGAGGACCTATGCTGTGCAGTTCATAACTATAGGTAACTGCAGCTCCAGGGCACCCAATGCCTCCTTTTGGCTTTCCCAGTTACCCACACTCATGTGCATATATGCAGACACATACATAATTAAAATCCTCTAAAAGTTGTTTTAGTCTCATGTGCAGGCTAGTTGCCTGCTATTCAAAAAACCATGATGCAGGATATCTTATTCAATTATAGGATCTAGTATGGGTTCTTTCAGATTGTATAGGTCTAGCTCCATCACTAAGCAGTGAGAACCAGCAGTGTACTCTAGAATGAAAAACCTACGTTACTAGGCAGGATACCAGGAGGTGACTATGAAGCTATGATAGTCAAAATACTGAGCACCCCTTGCCTGCAAACAGCCCAGGAATTGACTAGCTGACTTCTTGCAGTTACTCTAAAGACATACTGCATTTCCTGTTTGGGGACAGGATTTTTAACCAAAGTCACCCCAAGTTCAAGGAAAAAACTGAACACACTCAAGCTCACTGAATAAACGTAACTTGACCACATTATTATCGCCTTGCTGACGGGACTTATGAGACTTCCTGGTGGTCTGGGATCAATTATTCCTACTGACGAGGAGCACAAGTACTCCTGAGCAGTGCGGGGTGTCAGAGTTCTAAATCCACAGGTCTTCCTACTGTCCTATGTGCTTACACACTCAGTTGAGGAAGTATTCCTTTAATAATTTCTGGCATGTTAGTTACTACAACCTGAAATGGAACCAGAATGGCATTTCAAACTTCAGTACTTCAACTCAAAAACTTGAGATATGCACACACAGTTGCCAGTTATCTTCATAAGCCTAAAATAATTGCAGTAATCTTAGAAGTCCAGAATGCTAAACTTCAGCAAAATGAGGAAAGGAAGTTGAAAGTACCATGCATCCATGACAAGGACTGAAGAAAAGGATAATGGAAAAAGATAACCATGGGTGTGCTTTGGTAGATGATAGCTTACCTACTATTTTGAACCAGGGGCACACAGGCCAAAAATAGGCTGAGACATGTTGACAAAGACATATTTTAAGAAAACCACAAGGGGCAAAAGAAGGCAAGCTTTAGAGTATTATTTGCCACTTAGCAGAGTCAACCTCTGTCCAATGGACAAGCAGGCCATTTGCCTGGCCTTTGCTGAGGAATTGTACTGTGCCCAGCCACAGAACTATCACTCTGAAGGCAGTTTTCTAAGCAGAGAAAAAGTTGCAGACCATGTCAACATACCCCTTGGATTTTGTGGATGGTAAGTATCAGCTCTGAGGTTGAGCCCATTCCCTGGCGTAAGTAGCTCCACTGCCAATGCAGCAGTGTGTCCCTCTTATCCCAGGCTGTCAACAAAACCTGCTTCCCTAACCAGGCCAGGCACTAGCACATTCTGTACAGGGCCAATACACACTTTAGCCTCTGATAGCCATATCATCTTTGTCACAATTCAATTCTCCTGTTACAATGAGCAAATAGCCATAAATAATATATATACAAATGAGGAGGCTATGTTCAATAAAATTTTATTTATGAACACTGGAGTTTGAATTTCATATACTTTTCTCATGCTACAAAATATTTTTCAACTTTTAAAAAAACATTTGTTATCCTTTATTCTCCCACCTTTAAAAATCATTCTTAATTCACAGGCTGTGTAAGTACAGAGGGAGGTGGACTGGCCCACCAACTGGGCTGCTGACCCCTAGACAAGAGTTAAAGATTTTCTTTCCCCACTTCATCTTCAACATGCAGACCGTGAACCATGTTACCTGAAAAGGCCACAGCAGGATTACTCTATTCCATTTATTTGTATTCACTCATTGCATTCAAGCACTCACTTGGCAGCTCTCCATTTTTAGGTACTGTGCAAGATCTTTGCTTTGGACACTGAAGGAATATGACACAACTGTTTTCTCAAGTTCTCAATCTCCACAGCATCTCTAACTTCCCATGAGTATCAGAGAAGATGCAAAGTATGGTGATGTATCAGGCTGATTTGTGAGGCAGTTGTATTCAGTGCTCAGGTTGACTGTAAGAAATTACCACAAACTAGGTGGCTTAGAATAGAAATTTATTTTTTCATCATAATAGAAGTCTGAAATAAAAATAGCAACAGGGTCGGTTCCTTCCAGAGGCTCTTATGGAAAGTGTTCCATGACCTTCTTCTAGCTTCTGTGGTCCAGGAAATTTCAAAACGTGATGTAAACATCATTTGCCTCTATCCTCCCAGGACCTCCACTGTGTCTGTTTGTTTCCCCTTCTTTCCTCTTAGAAGGATTTGTCAGTGGAGTCTGGGCCCACCCTAATCCAGGACCATGCCATCCACAGGTCTTTACAGTCACCTGAAAATGCCCTTCTTCCAAATGAGGCCATATGTACAGGCTCTAACAGACATTACCTTTTGTGGAGTGCACTATAAACCCATTATAATACTGTTAGAAGACTCCTAGAAGACACAGCCAACGTCATCCCAACGGTTTTTGGAGGAAGTAAAAGCAGCTGATTTTTGAAAGATGAAAGCTGGTGTTGGTCAGACAGACATGAGGGAGAAAAGGAAAACCACATTCAGGTTGTAGCCAGATCAGTTATGAAGCAAAAGCACATGGGACAATCTGTAAACAAACAGCAAGTAGCTAAGCTTGGCTGGAGAACAGGATATAAAGTGGGACAGAGTGAGCAGGAGGCCAGCAAAGTCAACAGGAACTTTATCACCAAGTGCTGTGTGCACCACAATCTGGCATGCTGATAGAGAAGGTCCAGAGGACAGCCTGTGATCATCTTCCATGGTTAAGCACTTTAACTGCACCACACCTCAGATCACTTTGTCATTACAACACTGACAAGAATGAATTAGACAACCTTCAAGCAGCTTCTTTCAACCAAGATAGATTTCATGACTCAGATTTTACACTTTTTAAACTAAAATACATGGTCGCTTCCTACCACTAGTGAGATCACAGTCTTTCAATTATTTTCTCTGGGAAGTATTCTTATTGCTCACTGCCCTCCAATGTCAAGGGCTCCTCTTGCTTCTGAAACACCCTGTGCTTCCTGTTGCCGCCCTTTCACTGCTGAGACTGAGAGCTGAGAAAGTACGGTTTTCCTTCTATGAACTATGCTCACAGAGATTAAATCAGAACAGAAGTCAAGTTAATGACACAATCACTGGTCATCTTATACATAACAGTTTTAAAAGCAGTTAAACTTATGTACATAGACAAAAGTAAAGAAAAGTACAAATGAAAAAGACAGTTATCGCCTAAGAGAAAGAAAAATTATGTAATGTGTATATGCATTCCACAGAAATATATACAGGGAAAAATTCCAGAAACCTCAGTAAACCAAGCCACACTTAGAAAAAGGAAAGCTGATTTTATTTTATCAACAGCCATTCTTAAACATGAACATGCATACGTAATATTCTACGCACACATCACAGTTTTTTAACGTTAGTTAATAAAGGTTAAACACACAACATACAACCTTACAAAAAAAGTCAAAATGCAAACTTAAAACTTTAAACAAAAGTATTACTAATTTAAAAAAAGTTTGTGTTGGGTACCATTTGTACAACACAGTTAATTTAAACATCTTCATTTTGGCTGCACATGAAAAAGCGGCAGTAGAAAATAAATCGATGAGGGTTTTAAATAGCAGAATAGGCAGTTTTGCCATGCAGGAGAAGCAATATTAAATATTAGTTTTCAAAAAAAATCCACATTTAAAAATATTTAGTTCAAGTCACAGAACTTTTCTCAGTAGAGACCTCAATGCAATGCATAATTAGCTGCCTTAGATGGCCTGTTTTGAAAGGACAAAATCCCTTTCAAAGTATAACTTTACTGATTTTGGCACAGAAAAGAAGTCTTAAGAACAAGAACATGATTAAAAAAGTGGGAAGAGGAACAGAGGAAAGAAACCAAAGCAAGAATAAGGAGATTTAATGGCAATCACTAAAGACTGTGCATTCTTGGTCACTGAAGAACACTGTGTGCTCCATCTGCAACAGGGGCTTGCTCCACAGCTCTTACTGCAGCATGGACCTAATTTGCTTGGAGGTAGTCTCATCATTCAAATGTTTTGTTGTGTACCTGTAAGAAAGATAGTGATCAATGTTAGGAAAAGAAAATCTATATGGGCTGTGTAAAATGGCAAGATGAGCATCTGGTCAATCAATTCACAAGATCATGCCTTAGAGTGGCAATTTCAATCCTGATCAGGCTCACACTGCTTCTCTCTCCCATCCAACAGATAAGTCAGTTGCTGGTCATCTAGTTATAATTACTTTGCTAAAATGATTAACCAAACTCTGAAATAAACAATTAACTACTCCTCGTTAATGGAAAAATGACAGATCTATCCCACATGCTGGCAAACTTATGGTTCCTGAGCCAGATGCAGCCCACCACATATTTTTGCATGGCATGTGAGTTTAGTACATATAACTAACTCTGTTTAGACTTTGGATCACTGAGAGAGGAAAAACAAACAAAATGATAGGCAATATTCAGTATTAGCATATAAAATTCAAAATTTAATGGTCACACATAAAAGCTGTACTGGAGGGGGACGAGTGGGGAGTGGACATAACAACTGTATGCATGTATGAAAGTCTCAAAAACTAAAAACATAATTTAAAAAGTTGCATTGGAAAGTAAAAGGTTGGTTAACGTATATATTACCCAGGTTATCTTCCTGGCACAATGGAAGACTTAAGTAGCTATTCTAGAAAACAGCCTTCAAAGTCTAAAATATTTACTCACACTCTGCCCCCTTGCAACTTTGTGGTATGAAGACAGTACCCTGAAATATTCACATCCTCTAAGTCCCTTATTTCCAGATAGGCACATTTTGGACAAGAATGTAAATCCAAACTCAAAATGAATTCAATAAAATGAAACACTCTAGAAATAGGTATTTTAAAATTAAACACTGGATTCCTTTAAATAATACAACAGCAGCAAGCAATGTCTTCCAGGAGATATTAGCTGACAGAAGAAGAAAAACCAGACACTCTCCTTACAGAAGGCTTGGGAGTAAAGTGTAAGAAAAAGCTCAGGAGGCATGGAGACCAGAGGGAGGGATCTGGAGGTCAAGTGCAATGAAAGCCTTTAAGAAAGAGTGACAGGATGCTGAGTACTGGAGAAAGCTACAGGACTGTCAATTAAGAAGCCACTAGTGAGGAATAAAGGAGATATCTAAAGTTAGATATGATTAGAAGCAGCAGACAGAGGTTTGCCATGCTTAGACGTGGAAAGTATTCTGAAGATAATTCAAAGGGGTTGATTGGGCTCATAAATATTTCACAGATAATTTTCTTTTCTTTTTTTTTTTTTTAAAGATTTATTTATTTTATGTCTACGAGAGGTCTATCTGCATGTATGCCTGCATGTCAGAAGAGGGTATAAGATTGCATTACAGGCAATTGTGAGCCACCATGTGGTTGCTGGAAAAACTCAGTACCTCTGGAAAAGAAGCCAGTGCTTCTAACTGCTCAGCCATCTCTCCAGCCCCTCACACATAATTTTCAAAGACTAGATCATTGTACATATGTTTACAGATAAATAAATTTAAATTTGTTAAATAAATTTAAACAACTGTTCAGTTTATTTCAAATAAGCTCTAAAAGTGAAGATCCTATCTGTACTCTTTGTAAAACTGAAGAGAGATGTGCTTATCATACATCTGATGTGAACTATATTCTATGTTTTTCAACAGTGACTTCCAGACTGTTCTCATGAAGCAACACTGGAGTGCCTGGTACATATTGGGTGTTCAGTACGTAACTGGAGACAAGTTAGGTTGCAAAGCTGGAAAACATCCATAGAACAACCACCTTAACACAGTGGTTGAGACCCTTTAATACAGCTGCTCATGTTGTGGTAACCCCAACCATAAAATTATTTTCATTGTTACTTCATAACTGTAATTTTGCTACTGTTATGAATCATAATGTAAATATTTTTGGATATAAAAGGTTTACCAAAGGGGTTGCCAACACACAGGTTGAGAACCACTGCTAAAGAGGAATATTTAGTGAAATGGTAGAAATGGGGCAAAGATTTAACTGTCATGTTTTAGACTGGAAAAGCATATATGGCCACACAATACCCTACTCAGTATCAGAAAATATACGTCATCCATTTCTTTGGCTTCTTTACCCTCTCCTTTACTAAAAATAACTAAGGAAAAATGGATAGTTAAGTCTCGACTACAGAATAGTCACACAAGAGTCACAGAATATTTACTCCCCCTGGGACTGTCTGAGGGAGGTGGCCGTGCCCCTGGCAGTTCCAGCATCCTACCCTCCACAGCCAGGACAGAGGTGCTACATCATCACTCCTAGTCAGCAAAGGCAACAACACTGACTGTGTATGAGAAAACCATATGGAATGTATGGATTTATTCTCCTTTGTGCACAAAACTCAAGTCCCCTTTCAAGTGTATGTGACTTCTCTACTGGAAAACAACTGCTGCCCTTACTGACATTCAGCAAAGAAGCAAATACCTGAATTCACAACTCCAGTTCCTTCTAGTGACTAAAGAGATTCGGTCCCAGATCTCTATAAAGTACATATGACTCATTGCTTCTGCTTTTTTCGAACACTGTAAGTTGGAGGTAGTGCATAAATAACTCAAAACATATGCACAAAGATAATTCCATTCAAAATCTTATGGTCATTAATTTTGCAAGAAGTTTCTTTGTTTTTGGTTGCTATGAGAAAGGTATAGTAGGCTATGCTTTCTTAATTTCAGCAGTCATTTAAAAAGTATTAGCCAGAGTATTTATTTAAAATGAGAGAGCCTGGGTCTCAACTCAGGTCTAAGGAAAGAGACTCTAGAGGTGGTGACCTAGAACTCTGCATGTTTTTACAATCATCTATTCTGAAGCACACCCAAGTTCAATACATAATGAACCAAAGACTGAGTTATCATAAAGGACATAAAATTTCAGAAATGAAACCCTGCATCATCTCCAGTTCTTTGGAACCTGCACAACTTCCATAGTTCATGTGATAAGAATGCAGATGCAATGAGAAGTCTCATAGTCAAGACTGCACTGGAAATATGTGGTGCCAAGAAATGGTACACATTACTTTTATAAAGCATCACAAACCCCCAAATAAAAAGTGAGAGCCAGATACAGAATATGATTACTATGAACAAATCAGTTCAAAAGTTTTCCTTACAACTTAATAAAACTAACAGGATATTTCTGTTTTCCTCAGCACTGCATCCTGTGGAAAACACATCAGTCCTGTATTCAATACTATTGGCCCTGCTTTGCTCTAATACTAAGAAAACAAAACAAAATAAAACAACAAAAACTGAACTAATCCTACCTGTATGTTCTAAAAGCAGCACTGCACTTCAGGGGTTTTCAACAAACCTTTTAGCCTGCTTCCTTTAAGGCAACACAACAAATACTAAAACCCTCAAGCTTCTTTAACCTTAAAGTTGTTTTGGATTTTTTAAATAAGCTCTCAGTAAGTAAACTAGGTTGGCCTCTGGGATTTAAAAGGTATGTACCATCATGCTATTTATTCCTAAGTTTTAACAATACACCTCACAATAGATTTCCTGACAACTGTTGACTGCAGAGACTGACCCTTTGGGGAAAAAAGATTAGACAGTAAAAAACCAGGCACACTGAGACACAAACACTACTCAGAAAGGACATAAAAAGGCCCATGCCCTACATAGCTAAAATTAAAATGTACTTTGCACTGCCAAAGTAAGAAGAAAATTTCAAAACACTGGATGTGTGGCTATAAAAGGCTGATAGTTTTTGTCATTCTAAAGTTCATTTTTGTTTTTCTGTACACAGTCAGAAACTGCTTACACAGCACTTCCTATAATACTCATGTGAAGGCTTTACTCAGCTGAAGTAAACTGACATTTTGCTCCATGATATAAACATTACTACATAAATATTTCTATGTTCTTACTATTTTTTGCTTAAACCTCAAATAACCAAGTATAGAAAATTAGCTTCTAGGTTGCAAAATTGTTTTAAGTTGATTCTGTGCCAGGATGTTATAAAGCATGATAATGAACACTTAAAAAGATGTCATGCAGCAAAGTTGAATTTTCAGGAATTACATCAATAATGATTCTTCAAAACAAAGATAACACAGACATGGGATCATGAACTCAGATATGTTACTAGGCTACTACTCAAGAGGAAAAGAACCATGGAACTTTGTACTGTTGTATCAACATGCTAATGATCAGAATGAGCTATGATTCTCTCCATGTGTAAGGAAAAACCCACTAGGAACCCCAATCAGCAAAATGTCTGCCTTGAACATTACTGAAGTATCTTTTAGGTGCCATTCAAACATTTAATAACACATTTTTTTTGTCATACTTAGGTACATATACACACCTGAGAGCATTGAGAAGACCTTCTACACTATTAGGAGGTTGGTCCTTAAGAACTTTGATACAACCTTTCATCTGAGGAGAAAAAGAAAAAGAAAAAGTAAATATCTGCTTTTTTATTAACATTCATTTCAAAAAGGCAAAATTGAAATTGGAGCCTTAACTACAGAACTGAAGAGACCATATACTAGAAATGCTGACTTATTTACTCTTGGGGCTGGAGTTGGCATATGCTATTATTTTCAGTCTCTCAGTGAGGCAAAACTTTCTGGGAATGCAATCAGTCAAAGTAAAGTTCCATTCACAGTAATGAGCTAAGGGAATACATTCTGAAAAAGATCTACATTCTAGTTTCAAGAAGAGAATAGAACTGCTCCAGGAAAGAGGAGTTTCCCAGGTAGCCTGTGACGAGCAGAGGACAGGAACCCTGTGAAGCTGAGAAGGGAGCTAGAGAGTCCTGAAGTCCAGATGATTCAGGTAAAACTAACTGATCGCACAGGCAGTAAAGACTTCTACAGGCTACTCATAGGGAGAAAAACTCAACGAAGATGGTATTTCAAGAGCAGCCTGGGTGTCTGAAAAGCATGGCAGCATAGATTTGAAAGAAGAGGTGTGGATTTTGTCTTGCCGTCTACCACTTCCTAGCAATTCCATTACTTGACCTCCTAAAGTGAAGCTGCTCTAGAAAAGAAAAAAATCCCACAATTATGTTCATAGGCACATGGAAACAAAGTAAAAATTCTGGGACCTGGTTACCACACAAGTAAGCTAATGTTAACTTATTTTTCTTTATATAAAACAGATATATATGAAAGCTAGCAATCCATAATTGATATCTAAAATGCTAAGATCCTGAAATAGTAATGATTAAATAATCCCTACCAAATATTAGTTAGAACTCTGATGTTCAAGAATGACCAGAGAAATGCAAAAAACCACTTCATTTCTAATAGCAACTTCCATTCTAGGCAGATATGGAAATTTATATAATTAGTATAGATACTACAAATATTCACCATTATCATTCAATCACATAACACACCTGCATACTGGCTAGCAACCAGAAATATTGGGCAGTGTAGAAGAAGGAATTCCAAATGTATCACAAACTGTGATCAAGTCTGAGTCTAGTCTGCTACCTTTTAAATAAAACTTTATGATTTCCACGTAAGAGAACAGTTTGCAATCTCAAAGAGCAATAGATAACTTACATCAATTTTGGAAGTTTTGGCAAATGCTCCCACTGGATGGACGTGGTCATAAAGTATTATGACACCCACCATTACCCTCAAGCAGAATGATACTGTTTCTTCATTGGTAAATCTGCTTCTGTATTCCCTAGAGGGTAAAAGATTTGTTTTTGTAAGGCACATCACAAAGTACAATGAACTGATTAGACCTGCACTCAATACTGACTACTTTGATCTCTGAAAGGAATGCCAACATTATCCCTTCTCCACAAGGACCCTAAGGAGAGAAAATGGACATGGTAAGGACTTACCACCCCACGTACTATGGTCCTCACATTTATACCCACCAGGACATTAGACTACTTCTACAATTTCAGAGAAAGCAAAAGTAGCCTTGAATAAGAGTTTGGGGATGCATGCTTAGCAACTTGAGAAAAGTCAGTAGCTCAATGGAGCAAGCAGGTTTGCTATTTTATGGGTCTCTTATCTAAACTCTATTATACTACAAGATTTGATCATATTCTCTCTCTCTCAGAATAAAGGAAATAGAGCTCTCTGAACAACTGGAACACTGTGATCCAGCAGGGAGTGGGCTGGCACTATGTAACCCTTCACTTCCCTGGCCCCCATTCCCTTACACAGGAGAAAAGAGTAGAAGGTGTTTGTCCTCCAGCTCGGTGAGTCCATCAATAACACAGTGTATAAAGAGCACTTTGGGAAATGAGTAACACAAAACCAAAAGTTCTCTAGTAAAAACCATATCTTATCAAGAATCCAAGACACATTTTTTCTGGTGTTGATGGGAAAATAAACCTTATGTATCACAAATGCCTTCCAACAATGCCAGTTTATGAGGGAACAAGGACAAAACTAAGTGTGAGGGAATGTGGCAAATGGAATATAATTATAGCCCTGTTTCCTGGACCCCCAAAATCATGAAATTCCTGTTCTGATAGGAATAAACTTATTGAGGTACCCAGAGTCCAACTCTTTTCTTCAAAAAGAAATACAATAAGCTACCAAAAGAGTTTGACTTTGTTAATACATCCAACACATGATGGCTAGGATAAACTTCTTTTCACTTTCCACACAGACATATTTGTATTTAGATAGGTTTTGAAATACCAGTCAATTTCCTCAATGTTGTTGAGGTGAAAAAGATCAGCTAATACTCACGGTGTCTCCAGCATGACTCTGCATACACTTGCCATGGTACTTAAACAATCTGTGGTATTTTCTATTGGTAAATTTTTATTCTGTAAGTGTACAGAGAACAAAGGAAGCAAGTTAAAGTGAAAAAAATTATTCCTTAATAATTTAAAACTTAATAGAATTCCCCCAAACCAGGAAATGATGTGGCTTCTATTTGTAATTTTCTAGACAATGATCATGATTCTAATCTCTGCTCCATGATAAGGGGGGATAGAGCACAAAACAGACAAGATCCTGCTGCTCTGAAAAGAGATTACTGTTGGCTGAGCAAGAATAAGCACAACCTTTCAAATACAGGAGATGAGTCTCAGATAGGGAGGTTATCCTAAAGATCCTGGAAATTTTATTTATTTCACTACATCTTACTTAGGGTATATAGGTACTCTCTTGTATCACAGTGCATGTGTGGAGGTCAGAGGAGAACAACTTGTGTTAGGTTGTCTGTCTCTCCTACTATCTGAGTCCTAGGAATCGAACTCATATCATCAGACTCAATGGCAGGCCATCTCTCCACGACATGAGAAACAGAGTGTAACAACAGTAGAAATAAGAATAGGTAAAAGAGTAGCAGTCTAATCTGGGTTATGTAGCAGGAGCAGGGGTTAAGATTTCATAAGCATGATATACAGCAGATGAACTGTGGAGCAGATAAAACAATGAGAAAAGAACTTAAAATGATCATCCCTGAGATTTTTGCTTATATCAGTATCATTACTAACAGAGAAGACAAGAGAAAAGGCCTCCCTTTCAGAGATCACTAAGGGCAGGTAATCATGGCAGTGCTTAAAGTACCCCCAGAATCACTGCAAGCAATTAGGCAGCTGTGCCCGTGCAGGTCTCATTTTGGGGTACCAGTCTAAGGATTTTTTTTTTTTTTTTTTTTGGAATCATAGCACTGTGGCGGTCACTACACCTGTAGTGAGTGAAACATCTCAATGCTGATGATGTTCATCATCATCAGAGAAGGGTCACCACCAACTCACCTCTGATACAAATTTTGTTGTTGCATCACTTAAGGTTTTCAGCATCGGGGTGGCCTCAGCATAAAACAAGGACATTCGATTTGCCAATTCATTATTTACTTCATTTTCTCCTTCTGCCTGTGTGGAAATTACTTGACATTAATTCACAAATTATTAAACCAATCTAGTAAATACCTTTAAAATTAAGTTCAGACCTTCATATACAAATACCATTTTAATACTCTTTAAAAATAAAGAGACTGATGGGAGCTAGAGAGATGGCTCAGTAGTTAAGAGCACTAGCTGCTCTTCCAGAGGTCCTGAATTCAATTTCCAGCAACCACATGGTAGCTCAGAACCATCTATAATGGGATCTGATGCCCTCTTCTGTCATTCAGATATGAAAAACAGAGCACTCATATTCATATTTTTTTAAATGTAAAATAAAGATATTATAATACAAATATAATAGTAAGCATTTTTTTTTTTTTTTAAAGAACAACTTTCTACTCAGGCATATTAAGTGGTATTATGGAACTATAATACAGTGGTAGGACATCTTACTACACAAGACACTATTCAAAAGGCTCTGGAAGACGAAAGTATGATTATGAAATTACACCCTTCAGTATGAACATAAAAGGATCTACCCATGATAAAATATAGGCAATAATAGAAGGGAGAAGACCTAAACTAGAAGATGAGGAGGACTGATGAAGACCTGGGTATGTATGTATGTATGTATGTATGTATGTATGTATGTATGTATGTATGT